GAAAATACACTGCAATTGAGTTTTACTTTCCACCGTATTTTAGTTCCATCGCAAAAGTTTTGCAAGCGAACACAGAGTGGAATACATTTTTGAGAAAAGCTTTTAAATGTTTTTTTTTTTTCTCTCTCTCTCACCATGTCCCTTTAGGGGCTCTGTATGAATGTGAACGCATGTAATACACTAACATTCCAGCCAATTAAAGGGGAAAGTTCTAACATAACTGTTTTTTAGATGCAATAAAACCCACACATAGTGTCCATACATTTTGGGCCAACTTTTTATCATGAGTCACAAAATGGGTGTTTCTTTGCAAGAGCAGGTGTTTTTGTCATCCTAGTTTATCCTATGGTGTTATTCAAAGATAGGTTATAAAAAATAAACAAATACACCGCTAATGCAACATATTCAATGTCTGTGAATGCATTCATCTACAGGCACATGTAAAAAAAACATTGGTAATCAAGTTTTTTGCTTACTTTGGCGCGAATGCAGTATGCCTGCCAGTTGAGTTCTGCATCAGGCAGGACACTCAGGGCCATGTTACAGATACCTCTGGCCATCTCCAGTTTGCCTGACAGGAAGAACACGTTTGCTAGCCTGTTGAGTATGAATGCATCATCCGTGGCGAGCTTAATGGCCTGTGGAAATCAGCGGTGAGAACAAATCTAATCATTTAGAGCCTTTTACACTTCATTATTATTCACAGTCATGGTATTATTAGCTTTAATGTATTAGCATGTCAATTTGTCAGCCTATGTTTAATCATATCAAACATAAGCCTAAGCACATCTTTCTAACACCTGCGTCAAGAAACAAGTTACACGTCACACCCATACATGTTGTGGCTACAGAGGAAATGTGTGCCAATAATCTCAAGACTGGAATCTGATCTATTAGCTTGACCACAATATGACATTCTACATTTTTCCAGGGCTGAAATACAGTACCGATCCGTAACATGTCAAAGGGTCAGATCCAGAGAACCCACAGTCATGGACTGACATTGGCACAGTGGAGAACTCCTCCGTCCGCTCCAGCATGAGACCAACATAACACCAGCCCATTGCTAGAAAGTAGAGAAGAGAGATACAAAAACATTGTCTTAATGATTACTTGACATCTGAGATCTGCTAGAAGACACTGATAAGAGGTCATAAAAGAGCCAAGCGTGACATGTAGAAACATAAAACTGGAAAGATTGGTCTGTGTAACCTTTCACTTCTCCTTTGGGGCCTTTGGTTGTCAGGGCCCTCAAGGTGAGAGTAAAGTAAATGTAACAATATTATAGACAGACAAAAAAAGAACATGAATATATTTTTGCAGTTTTGATGCATACTAGTCTCTTTTGTATGAAGTCCCACATTCCCACAAATTTGTTACCTAAATGTATTAATTCATTCCCTCATTTTTGGTCATTTGTGGCCACATTGTACAAATTTGTTCCCCCATTTTATTTAAATTGTGGCCATGGTTTAGCTATATTAAAAACAAGGGACACAATTAGTACAACATGGCAACGATTTACCTAAAACGCAGGAAGAAATGAATAAGTTGTAGGGATGATTTAACTAAAACGAGGGAACTAATTAATCAAATGTAAAATTGTAAGAATAAATTCTTAATTCGTGGCCACAAAGCTTCATATTTTTGTATTACACAAAGTTGCAAAAATGCAATTATGAAAAAATAAACATATCACATTTGGAACTTCATATCCAATATTTGCCATACATTTGCATTATTTGGACACTGGGTCTCGCAACTGGGGGCCTCTGAAGACTATAATCAGTCCTTGATCTATGGTATTATCTATATGAACATGGGAGCTGACTGTGTTTATTGCTTTATTAAACATCTTTATCATATCTACTCTATGAAAATTACCTTTGAGATGTGTGTTGTCCGATTTTAGAATCTCTGTGAGAAGCTTGAGGCCCTTGTTGAAATAGTTCAGTCTTGTGAGGTCAATGTCTATCGAATCCCTTACAATTCCATCTAACCTATTAAAACAAACAAACAAAGGTTATGATAAGTCTATTATAGTTTCAGTTCATTATAAGCAATGTCTGAGTTGCCTCAAATGCTTAGATAGGCAGTAAGATGTTTGATGTTAACAGGTAAATGTCAAAAATCCGTATGTAAATACCTTATGTAAATTGTTGCCATTTTGAAATACCAACTTCTTTTTTCCTCTATTGGTATCTGTCAGAAATAAAAGAACAGAACAAAGTTAACTACACATAAAAAAAGTATTTTAAAATAGGGTCCAATGTACTGTTTTAATAAGTTATTAATATTTATTCCTTTTTAATACTTATCATTTTTAATACTCATTTTAATAATCTGATATTCTCATAAAATATTAGATAATTTGACATTTTTATAACAAGCCAAGTTTAGTATATGTTATATCATATGGTATGACTATGCCAAAAATGTAATGATACTGTATTGTACATAAGAATATGTGGTGTGCTCACCAGTTCCTCTCCATAATCGAGTGCGCGGTTGTATAATATCAGCGCGGCTGTCAGTCTCTCTTGTAAATCTTCGTCTCTCTCCAGCTCCACATCATGAGGATGTGTGTACGCCTGTTCAGCCAAGCACCGTGCTACCCTGAGCCTGCAGTCTGTCTGGTTCTCCCCCATCTCTGGGCCCATAAGGGCAGCCACACGTTCCATGCACTCCTCCTCCTCCAGCTCGCGGCCCAGGCGTTCATATACGTAACCCAGGTTGGCCCAGGCATTGAGGTTTTCTGGATCCTCTTGGCAGATGCTGCGAAAGGCCTCTTCTGCCGTCTCCAGTTTGTCTACATGGAAGGCCAGCAGGCCCAGCATATTACGCACAGCATACTGCAGTCGTCCCGTCTCAGCTTCAAGCTCAGCCCTGAGGCTCTCGCGTTTGAGCTGGATGTCCCGTAGCCGAAGGGTGACTGGTCCATTGGGTTCACCGTTCAAATTCAGCTCCAAATGAAAGTGGCCAGGGATGTAGGCCATCCCCTCAATCAGAGACTCAATGTCTTCTTCTGTGCTGTCCTCCATTGTCCCCACACACTTACTGACAATGCCTGACTAAGACAGAACAACTTATATGTGGGACAAGAAATACAGGTTTGAAGAGGAGGAGAAATGAGACATGAGTAAGGAAAGATGGTAAACATGTGCTTTCTTGCTTCCTGTAACAGGTTTCTCCACCCGACACTGTGGTTTTTACATTAACTATGGTAATTTCAAAGGACAACATGGGTGTTTGCTTCAGGAACTGTGTAAAGAATGAGTCTTACATTCTGAATTTGAGTGACACACCTTGGTATCATGTAGGGTTTGCCATAGCCATGAATTGGCCAAACAGAACACCACTTTAAATACTGCCAGTTGTGAAAGAAATCATGCAATCATCTGCATGTAAAATAACATTTGAAATGCACTGTGTAACTCTGGTGTTATTTCACAGCTTCCTGATCTGTGTTTGAGTGAAAAAAGTTCTTAGGAGTAAGACAAATGTCACCAGACATGAGGAAGTTCATGTGTTCTGATGAGCATTTTGATAAAGATTTCCTTTATCATAATTATCTGAGTGCTGAGTTGATCTGAACTGGTTTGAGTGCTCTCAGATATGAACAATTATTATCAGAACTGTAAACTTCAACTCCTCCTGTTGTCATTATATAGATAGATAGATAGCTAGATAGATAGCTAGATATATAGATATATATTCATTTTAAAGTAATTTACATGTTATTTTTAATGACATACATAAACTGTATACCGTATTAAGCAGGTTTATGATGCAGGTTTATAAGTGAAAGATTTATTAATATCTCACAGTGAGTAATTTTTTTAATATAGGAAAAAATTATCTTGATCTATTTAAGCAATTCTACATAAAAGTCTCAGTTTTAATAAGTCAGTTGATTTTCTTTTTAGGTGCAATTTCCATCATGACCACTAGGATGAATGCTTTCTTTAAATATAGAGAACACAAAGAGACAACAGTGACATGCATAGGAATTGTGGGTCTTAGATCATGGAAAAATCTTTTTGCATCATCCAAGTAATCCATACATGAAAACAGTGTCAGGTTGATAAAAATGAATTTCCCAATGTTGTTCACCGTCTTTGTCAAAAATATCTTCAGAGCCATGACACAGTATCTTTAAGCAGATGCATGTCATTTTAATTTTTAAATATTTACATACTGTATTACCATCTGGCTGGTAATAGGTTCATATCATGACAAAAGAAGGTGGAGTCAGTCAGTGCTATATATTAAGCTCCCATTTTAAAGTACATGAATGAACAGTGACACTTTACCTCAGACTGGAAATATCTGGTGTGTGAGATTGTTCTCCTCACGCTCCTGTTCTGTTTTTGTCCATGATGATTATAACAGAGGGGGGATCCTCTTTGTGCAGCCAGCAGATGTTTAATGCTGTCATCCTGACATGGTCATGGCCCTGAGAAAACATAAGCCAGACACAGGACAGAATAAGGACTCATAATTCTTGTCTAAATCTGCATTTAATTTCTATATGTAACTACACACAAAACAGACTAAGCATATCAGCCATGTGGTAATATGGACCACAGACCACAACTTTTTTTCATTAGTATGGAAACATAGTGACAACTCACCATTTACTGTTCTGACTTTACAGTGTCCTTGTTACATGTTACATGTGCTTACTATATTAATGACAGTAAATTATCCATAATTACATGCAACTAACCCGTAGCCTAGCTACATGTTGTTAATTTATATTACTCCTTAAATGTATAATTACACTGTAACAAGGACACCTTAAATAAAGTGTAACCACGATTAATTATAATCGAATGTGATATATAGGTATAACAAGGACTGTTTTATAAAGTAGACCTATTTAACTTGTGGGAGTGAATTGCTCATTTCAGCGGTCGCGTTTACTCCGTTATTTACGGCAGTGAACTTCTGCGCTCCGCTCGCTGTCATGCAGGTGGGATTCAGTCCAGCCGTGTGATTCAAGCACATCAGGACCGACATTCAGTTTGAAGAGAGCTCCTGTCCAAACTTGACTTTAGCTCCGAGCATCACATCCACAGTTTATCTCATCACGGTCACGGCATCACCAGCACAGCCGAGGAGTTTGAGCAGCGCGCAGATCGGATACATTTGAACGACGAATCTCCAGAGAGACTCGCATCATGCTCAGGTGGTCTGTCTTTCCCACTGAAGGAGATCATATAGGCTGCATTTCAGCAATAATACTGGATGATTGTTATATCTTTACAAATAATCACAGGGTGTTGCGTACGATTTTTTAGGCATAATACTGTACATCAATGCTAATCATAACTTAGTCAAGGAGCTACATTTTTGAATCCAGAGCAATAAGCATTTCCTTACTTTTTCCCCTCTTTTCTTTTAAATAGATCATTTTTATAAACATGGAGGAGAGCACTACCTGTGAATCAGTCCCAGATTTAAAGGATCTGGAGTTGAAAGTGGGGAGAAAGACCCCAGAGGGGCTCTTGAAGTGGATGAGAGAGGAGCACAAAATGATCTCTCATCATCAGACTGACAATAATGAGACTGAGAAGAAGGGCCTGGATGAGAAGATCCGAAAACTTAGAATGGAGATGGTGAGAGCCAATCCTATATCTCTATTGCTACTAAACTAATAAATTCATTTCATTTACTTCCATCAAATTTATTCTTATGGTTATCGATTTCTAAACTTGTATTTGATAACCTCACATTTATACTCTATATCTTAAAATTCACTCTGCATAAAATGAATGAAGGGCGTGACAACAGAGTCAACAAAAACAATGTGTGTATGTGATCTAGTTATGTAAATGTGTGTGGATGACTCTCATAGCAGATACGCTACACGGTGAGTTTGTTTTCTCCTTTTTGATGAAACATAAAGCCTCTGGCTTTTTTGATTCCTTGTTTTTTCTGTCACATATCCATAAAAAAATTCCAGTGTAAAGTTCTTATATACTGATTATGATTGTATCTTTTCATAACATAACTCTCAAGAAGAAGCCTGCAGCATGTTGTTGTTTTCTCATTTTGAAGGGTCCCAAACCACATTCCACAAACCAAATCATCCAGAAGCAAAATAATTTCTCACAGTATGCCAAACAGTAAACAGTGCATTGAAACAAGACCCTAAAACTGTCATACAAGCAATGATGTTTTTAATGAACAGATGAATTGCTTGCAACCACATGTCTGTGAGGATGTTAAAGTGAAGGAGTGGCTTGAGTTGTGGTAAAAGATTTGCTGCTGTTTTCAGTGTTCATGCTTCATACTGTAACTTTAAACTCGTGGGGCGGATACGTCCTCGGTTGTATAAAGAATTGTTGTAGTTAGGGAAATGAGCTTGTTTCACTGTGGAATGCAGAGCCATTAAGCAAATGGACCCTGATGTTGTTGCTATGGTGTTCTTTACTGAGTGGTAGACTTTGTAAAAGGCCCCAAAGCTTTCATGGAATATGCTACTGCCAGTTGCATTTCTGATTTTTGGAAAGCAGTGTTATTAATTTGCTGAGGATACCTCTGTGATGATCTTAACATGTCAGTGTTTTACTGCATCAGCCAATATCCGTGTAGACAAGCCTGTATGTGGTTTCAGATAAAAAGGTGAAGGGTGCTAAAAGCCACATCTTGACATTTTTGTCTAATTATGTGTTTATTATCAGTATGCTTTGGCAAACTGTAGTTCAACAAAACAAGTAATTGTACTCTTTGTGTAAAACATCTAGAACTAAAATTTACATATGGTTTACAGGCTTGAAACAGAAATGTACAGAAATACAGAGAAGGAGATTGAGGAAATTAAGAAATTAAGAGGAATATAATTCTTATAATTTTTTTAATTTTATTATTATGATTTACATTATTATGATTTCGATCTTATTTCGATTTTATATTAATCAAGTTTTATTGTCATTTTCAATATTATATACACTACATTTACATTGTAACAAAAAAATCAAATTTAAAGGGGTCATATGATGCTGCTAAAAAGAACATTATTTGGTTTTTGAACAAAAAAATGCAGCCTTGCTGATCATTAGAGACTTTGTTCAAAAATATTAAAAGATTTTACCGACCCCAAACTTTTGAACGGTAGTGTATTTATTCTATTGACAACCCTGTTTTTTTTAACAGTTAGAAATACAAACTAAAAATGCCTAATATTTTTTGTGCAATGTCTTGAGCATAGGTCTTAATACATTAAAATATCTATAGCTACTTTTATATGTTTGGAAAGGAATCCCTCACAATGGGATCATCATATTAGGCACAGTCCATGGCATCGAAAAGTTTGAAAAGCCCTGGCAATAACTGAGTATAGTTCAAATTCATGGCAGTAAAACACTTTGTGGTACAACATGGCTAGCGGCTTCCAGGTAATTTCACAACATAGCTTGTTCTAGAGTAGATGGGGTGTTAGAGAATTGATTTAGAGTTTTAGTGTTCTCCTGATGCCATTCACACTGTTCCCAAATAGTCATGAGTTACAGCAAGCCCAACTGTCATTGAACTTTACCACCACACTGTGACATTGTGACCCGGATTGCTGCAGTCTAGTGACACACACACACACACACACACACACACACACACACCATTCATTCACACGCAACAGTATAGTGTGAGACATAAAAAATAGACTTGCATATCATTAGAAAAATTGTTACCTGACTTTAAAACATTGGAAGTAACTGGGAAATCAAACAGCTTGTTATTTATGTCACATGTGATCTGCGTGAAGATAGAGTGAGAGATGTGTCCTTGATGACTTTGAGCATCTTGGCCCCCAGTGAATGCACCTCTCTCTCCCTGCCTGACACAGATGGGAAACACAGGGGATGGTGTGTGTGCTGACAGATGGAGGAAAGGGAGATGACTCTTCCAGTCTGAAAGAACGAGAGGAGAGGGGAAATGACGGAGGGAGAAAGAGAGAAGCAGTAATGGTGAAAGGGAGAGTGGGAGGACATAGAGGTTAGGAAGGAATGCAGAGAAATAGAGTGTGTCGTGTTAGATGAGAGAGAGAGATTGCAGTGACGTATTTCTGTTTGTTAGGAGTAGAAAAAAGTTAAATGAGTACAGAAAGAGTGTAAACTGTGATGCCTTCGAAATGTTTTACTGTTTCATTATGCACATATACATTACCGTTTAAAAGTTTTGAGTCAGTAAGATTTTTTTTTTTTCAAAATAAATTAATACTTTTATTAAGCTAGGATTCATTAAATTGATCAAAAGTGTTAAGTGTTACAAAAGATATGTATTTCAAATAAATGTTACAAAATTATTAAGCAGCACAACTTTTTAACATTGATAATAATAGGAAATGTTTCTTGAGCACCAAATTAGCATATTAGAATGATCTATGAAGGATCATGTGACACTGAAGACTGCAATAATGGCTGCTTAAAATTCAGCTTTGTCATCACAAGAATAAATTGCAATTTTACAATATAAAAAATAAAAACATATAATAATATTTCACAATATTACTGTTTTTATTGTATTTTGGATTCAACAAATGCAGCCTTGGTGAGCTTTTTTCAAAAACATTAAATAATCTTACCAACCCCAAACTTTTGAACTATAGTGCACCTGAAAATTAATCACTTACCCCATAAATTGATTTTCAAGAGCATTTTTTTTTCTTTTATAATGAAGCACATTTACTGTATATTTATTGATTGAATCAATCAACTGAATATTGAATTGAATTCTAAATCTGAACAATTATTACATTCAATTTAACATTAAATACAGTAAAGTAGCTTTAAATAATGAACAAAAAAAATTATAGCACAATAAATATTCTGCTAGATTTTAAATAACTCATAAATAATGTTATATAGCTCTCTGCTGTCTACCATCATGGCAGAATTCCAGTTTTGAAAAGTTTGGAAGTGTTTTCTTCATATTCACTGTTTATACAGCTGACTTAAGTTTTTAATCATCCAAAACTATCTACGGGTCACTATGGTCTCTGCAGAGGTGCGGAACTGGAATAGAATATAATAAATAATACTAATAATAACACATGAATATCTGGTGCATTTTTGTCCCCTGTACTTTTATTTACTTCTATTTTTAACCCTGACTGTAAAATGAGCACCATAATCATAGTTTAAATGACTATGACTATCCATGTGATGGATGTGTGATACGGCAAGTTTAAATACACACACCTTGTGTGTACTTGAACATATTCAACATAGTTTTTGGGTGAACTATTACTTTAACTGATTAGTTTGTCTAAAA